ATAATTAACATTTTCTTTACTTATAATACAAATAGCAGATAAAGGAATAGTATTGCGGTAAATCTATGAAATATTTCTGACACGACTGCAATCCCTTACAATTTTTATTTACTTTATTTCTATATTGGAGTCTGAAAAGAAAACAAAAGATTCATGCAAAAACAAAAGATATTAGGTTTTTAATGGTGTTCTATTCATATTTAAAATAAGATTATTTTCTTCAGTCTGTAATCTTCTTTTGTTTATTATATCGTTACTATGAAGTTTTCTTACTGTTTCCTCTGTTTTCTTTAATTTTGACTGTTTTAATTTTAAAGTTTGCTATTTAATAAATTTATTTCATATTAAAATTAATACTGTATCTATTAAGTCAATAGTACGTACATTAAGTTCAGTAAGAACGCAATAAATTTCTTCAAATAAATAACAATTATTTTCCTCTGATGGTATTGTGCAAGAATCAATTCTTCCGAAAAGATAGATTCCTTCAAACCAAGACATTGCATAAAAACTTATTTCAAGTCCTAGAAAAAAATTTTTTAGTAATACGTAAATCAAGTACAGTAAATTAATATGCCTCCATTGTTTTAAAGCCTTATTAATCGAATCATGCATCATTATAGACAATTTGACTTTATCAAGATATTTTTTCTTTCTGCTTGCTATTGATAAACCAAAAGGCCCTAATCCTCCAGATACTTCTCCATATAAAGCTTCTAATTTACATGAAGTATTTTTTAACGTTCCTTTCATGTCTGCTTTATGACCAATTTTAGCTCTTTGAAAAGGATTATTTGATTCATTACGTGCTTCATTTGTCGCTAAAGACTGAATTTCTCCCCTAAAAATAAAATTACAAGGTTTGTTCTCAAAAATTCTTTTTACTTTTTTATTTTAACATTTTAGTGAAGTCATACCATTTATCTTTAATTAAATCTTTTGAAATTATTCCACGAATTAATGGAAATACTGTAGTCATTTTTAATTCCTGCTCGCTAATAAATCTTAATCGATCCATACTAAGTTTGCTATAAAATAATTATAAAATAAAAATGGAATGTAAATTAAATATATATATTATAACTGATAAAGATTTAAGATATAAAACCATACTTACATAAACTGAATGTAAATATGTAATTCTTCAAATCCACGAACTGAATTTTCGCATTTATTGTTAAAGTACTCTTGTAATGCTATGGGGGCTGTTTTTGGCAACCATGCAATCGTGTTTGTAAAAAGCTGCGATACTTCATTCAACAATTTATTATCAATATCTTTCCAATTGAACAAGCTTTCTTTAGTAAGGTCTAATATGCCCCAGTATGCTGGTCTATTAAGCATCAAGAATAAAGATATAACGATATTAACGATATTATGAGAATCAAATTATTATACATAAGAATCAAATTTATACCAAACTTACGTTACTACTTTTTTTGAACTAGGTATTAAATTTTGGTAGTTTTTAAAAGAATTATTTAATTTTTGAAAGTTTAACTAAAAATTGATTAAACATATTATGAGTAAATTAAAATTCTAGAACTCTTGTTAAATATTTATTTTTACCTTCTCAAGTTCCAAATTTATTTCATTAAATTTAGGGAGATTCGTTTCTTCATTCAAGACATTATCATCTATCAAATGACTTAGTTCTTCTTCATTACCATCATTAAAAAGTGAACAATAATCCTCCGGCAATTGGTCATTTTCATTATTTATCGATGGTTCTGTTTCAAATATATTTGTATTATTACAATGGATATCAAAATTAAATCAAAGAATATATGATACCTCTTTTATTGTTAAGGTTAAGCCACAAATTATCTACATCAACGCTACGTTTAACCTTGAAAAATAAACTTAACTGTAAGAAATACTTAGTCAAAATTAACAGCAAGCATGTTACATATTATATGCCTCAGAGATAAAAACAAAAGAGCTGATTTAGCAATTTCCGTTGACATACATATCTCAGTGATAAAACAGTACCCGTCACCACATGTTAGATATAGCAAAAGACGGATACCTATTGAAATATTCTGAGTATAGTCACATTTATAAAAAATTATGACTTTACTGTGATTATTCGTTAAGCATGGAAGCAGTATCTAATAACGTGGCTTAGTGATACAAGTAGTACCCGTCGATTTTGTCGCGAGAAAAAACAGCACAGCAATGAAGTAGTATCCGTTAACAATATAATATTCCCATGAAAAATGCACTCACCTTGGTATTCAAAATAGATCTTGCTTTCTCAACTTTCTTTTTATCTCTACAGTTATCGACGATAGAACGCAGAATTCTAACTAGTGCATCATTTGCTTTTTGAAATTGAAGTTTTCTTGGATCGTTGTTTTTGTATTTGTTTATCCAGGCTTCATGAAAATTTAAGATACTCCAAGTATCTGGTTCATTATCGTCGAAATAAAAATTTTTTTTATTTGTCATTATGTAGAAAAGGAGAATTAAGTAATGATTTGTTTTGATTTTCGAATTTATTTAGATCGTCAATCAAAAATCACATGATCAACTTAGAAAACATAGCGGGCTTTACTTGATTGGATGATCGACACAAAATGTTACACAATATGTTTCACATAGTGGCGTAACATTTTGCAGTTACAAAAATGGTTTGGCAGCCACGGAGACGAATTGGCCAAACTGCACCTCTGGTCATATAGGATAACTTTCTTCTGATTGGTCAATCGCTTTCAATTGTATTTATACAGTTTAAAGTACTTTTTAAGAA